GAGGAATAAGTTACAGGTGACTGGAATTCCAGAACAGGAAGAGACAATGAAAAGCACAGAGAAAATTCTTGGAGTAATTGGAAGAAAAGTTCCCTAATATCATGAAAGACAAGAAGATAAATATACAGGAAGCTGAACAAAATCCAAATAGGATAGATTCCAAAAGAAAATCACCAAAACATATCATAATCAAACTTTGCAAAATCAAAGCAAGCATCCTGAGAGCAGCTTGAGAAATACAAAAAGTTACCTACAAAGGAGAGCCAGTAAGGAACGGATTTCTCAGCAGGTACAATGCCGGCAAGAAGGCAATGAATGGGATGACACATACAAAAATCTGGAAGAAAAAATTGCCAACCAAGAATCATATACCCAGAAAAACTATCCTTCAAATCCAATGGTGAGAATAGGACTTTTCTAGATACACAGAAATTAAAAGAATTAGTAATAGCTCTGGTAGCGTAGTGGTTACGAATCGGGCTGCGAACCTTAGGGTCAGCGGTTCGAAACTACCAGCCGCTCCGCGGGAGAAAGATGAGGCTTTCTACTCCCGTAAAGATTTACACCCTCGGAAACCCTGTACAGGGTCGCTATGGGTCGGACCCGACTCGATGGCACTTAACAACAACAACAACAACAGACCAATTTTACAAAAAATACTCAAGGGTATTTTTTGAGTTGAGAACCAACAAGAGCAGACAACAACCCGAGAGTAACATAAAACCACCACCTAGAACTCAATCCAGATACAGTGATATAACGAAGTCTACTATAAAACAAAAAGAGGGAATAGTATACAGGACTTCCAAATGGCAAGGAAGTCAAGTAAATTTCAAGACAAAACAGACTGTTTTAAATAGGGAAAAAAATTAACAAATTACAAGGTAACCTCAAAGAAAAGCAATACACTTTTGCATCAAAACAAAAAATCAGAAAGATTTAGTAAACTTCAACACAACAGAAATGAAGAAAATGAAAACTCACAAAACATGAACTCAGTACAGAAAATTATGGTAGAAACCAGCAGTACCACACACACACAAAACACACCACAGCAAATGACAACAATCAATTCACATCTATTGATAATTACATTGAATGTTAAATGGGTTAAATGCACCAGTCAAGAAACAATAGAGCAGAATGGGCAAGAAAACAGGATCTTTCAATATGGTGTCTATTTAAGGACACATCAGAAAGATGGAAACAGCCTAAAAGTCCATCAACAGAATGGTTAGACTTTGATACCTCCACACAATGGACTATTTATTAACCAATTTTGGCGAATAACAATGGATAAACCTTACAACATGGATAAACCTGAATAAACTGTTATGTGCTGTCGAGTCAGTTCTGACTCATAGCTATCCTGTATAGGGTTTAGGGTTTCCAAAGAGTGGCTGCTGGGTTTGAACCACTGACCTTTCAGTATCCTACAAATGCTATGCGATTGAATCGACTGACTCGTAGCGACCTCATATAGGGTTTCCGAGGAGTAGCTGGTAGGTTTGAACTGCTGACCTTATGGTTCACAGTCCAGTGCTAATCCTACAAACCAAGATTCAGAAGTGAAATTAGTCAATCCCAAAAAGACCAGTATTTTATAAGACCAATGTTGTAAAAAGTTGAGAGTTGCTTGATAAAAGAAATGATAATGGGGGGGTGGTTAGTGGGGAAGGAAAATGATTCACTGGACACACTAACACAGTGACAGGACAGGCAACATACAAGAGGCAGGGTAGCAGAGGGAAGAGACAGTCGGTGGGAGACACGGGGGCAGCAGGGGAATGTAGTAAATGGAATTGAGGTAAATACTGTTTAAAGTTGGCACGTGAAGGGGATGGCAATCATTTGTTGAATATAAAACTGATCTACTCTGTAAACCGTTACTCAATTTACAATAAAGTTTTGTTTTTAAAAAGGTTAAATGTGATATTGAAAACTTGAAACTCTAACATGGGCATAAAAGAAGCCATCTCGGAAGGGGTGGGAATCTATCAAAGGGCCACTAAATCAAGCTCATTCTTTGGACCTTGAGGTCCCTGCACATTGAACCTCCTTGACCCAGGGACAGAGAGCTGTGACCTGGGAGTGAGAGAGCCGCAGCAGCAGAAGCAAGAGCCAGAGCACTAGACAGTGATGAGCTTCCCAGCCCATGGAGCAAGTAAAGCTGAGTGACTTCGGGCAGGAGGCCTGTAAAGTGGGGTGCCTCCAGGAACTGAATTTGGGAGCTAAGAGTCAGGTGTCTTCAGGCTGAGGTTTATGGTGGTGTATAACCAGTGAGCATTTATCAGCAATCCTGAGAGCTTTGTTAATAGCCTGCCTGTGGGCACAGCCCAGTAAAGGCTGTCCTGACTGGAACAACTCTGCCCTGAGCATTTCTGACCCTGATTTGTAACCTGCTCATGTGTCAGACTGCAAAGTTGTTTGAACTGCAAGGTCGGTGCTTCAAGCTCACTAGCTGCTCCTTGAAAACCCTATACAGGGTTGCTATGGGTCAGAATCGACTCAGGGGCACTTCACAGCAACAACGTTCCTAGTGGAGTCCTGGTGTGGCGTTGTGGGCTGAGTCAGACTGCAAAGTTGTTTGAACTACAAGATCGGAGGTGCAAGCTCCCCAGCTGCTCCTCGGAAACCCTATACAGACTCGCTGTGTTGGAATCAACTAGATGGCACTTAACATCTCTAATAAACTCCTGTGAATATGGTGTCTGATTTGTGTGGCCGCTGTACGTAACTATTGAACCCGGCAGAGCAGAGCGCTTTGGAAGGGATGGGTTAGTGCTCCTTTTCTGCAGTAACATTAAGATGTGAACTCACTGCTGGTGGGGCACACTGTATGTGCATTCAGTCCAGCACCTAGTTGAGTTACGCTGCTCCTGTTAGCACAAGTTGAAACTTCCAGCCACTGACCAATCAGTATCAAGTGACATTATGTTTGCTCCCCCACTCCTCTTTAAGCTGAGACTAAACATTATTTTTAAAGGCTCAAACTCACATCTTACATGTTGCTTTGAGATCTGCTGCTCAGGGAGCTGATGGCTGATTTGTGTCAAGGAAGGGATTGCTTTCTGTTGTGGTTTTTAATTATTAAGTCTCACTCTAGTCAACACTCTGTTTAGCAGGAAATGCTAACAATGAAACTGAGAAAAATAAACACAAACATGAACAAATGACCTTTAATTTCATAGAGATACAAAGGCAATTGTGTACAGCAACAATCTGCCGGGCCGTCCAAATTCTTGGAAGTAAATTCATGGTAAATGTCATGATGGCTGGCCGAAGAGAAGGTCAAAGGAGGAAAGATGAGACAAAAGAATGCTACAGCGAATAAAGAAAAGTACGAAAAACTGGTTTCAATGCCACGGCACGTCTATGCTGGAAAACCCCCAATTCATATATATCACAAGCCTTCCTTGAAGTGCATTTTGTGCTATTTCATATTAAAGGTTGTGTTAAGGAAACTTTAATCCTTACAAATAACTGACTTTTATTAAAGGAGCTTTAAACTGTGCTCATTATTATCTGGATTTGGTCTTGAGGCTGGGAAGTTTGGGAAGGGGGTCCTCTGTTAAGGAAACACGATTGACATTCTCATGGTTCCTATTTTTTGAGGTGATTATCAATGGTAATAGGATTTTATTGATTTGATCTGAGAAAAAAGTGTTTACTAAAAAAGTGGTCTTCCAAAACTTAATAAAAACTCAAGGTCAGGGTAGTAGAGAAAGCTGCTCCCATGCTCACTCTCACTGTACCCGATTTCTAGGGCTCTCCGAGGTGTCTGACCACAGTCTGTGAGGCAGCCTGGAGTGGCAACGCTACTCACTGTGCTCAGGACTGAGTCACCAGTCCAAGGTGAAAGACACTTCTCCAGTATTTACACTTGTGATAGGGACACACCACTAATTTGCTATGAATTCAAACAAATTATTGGCTTTAAACATCCATCAGTAAAATTTTACATCTGAGTTTATTAAGTTTTGCACTTTACGTAACAGAACACTGAACCCAACATCAGAGTAAAGGGAGGCTCATCAGCATGATTTCAATGTTTTCCTGGATTGAAAAACAAAATTAAAGTACATGACTTTTTATTTAAGAACACGTTTCCTCAATTCAATGTTTAGAGCTGATTAAAACAAAAAAAATTAAAACCCAGAAAACTGGAGTTTATAACATATAGGTACAATGTGGGAAGCAAGGGAAAAGAGAAATTAATGAGGAGAAAAAAAGACTTTCATATCAAGCACAATACAGGTTGCTGGCTTTTAGACTGTTTCAAGGCAGGATTCTCTCTCTGCACCTCTGCAGATAGATCCTAGTGTTTTAGCTACAAGAAAGATCAAGAGTTCAGATATACAGATAAGCCAATTTATAAAAAAATCATCTTACAGTATTCTAAAGGCTTCTGAAGCATTATATAAATCTTTACAACTCCTACCACCCACATTTTAAGAAATAAACCTATACTTTAATAAGGCACTCTTAGGTATAAAATGATCTTAGACAACTACATCCAGCTAGATCTAACCCATGCCGTGTGGTAGGGATGGAGTGGACTGTCTTCCTGAACCTAGTCACCGTGCATCAACATACACAAGCAGGGCTCCTTTGGAATCTACCCAAACAGCTGAGTTTATCAATGGGACTCTCCCATTTACTGGCCAGGGTGTTACATGGATAGATGACCCACATTTGGCAGCAACACTTGAAAGATTATGTCTTTTTTCTAGAAGTGCTTTCTCTGGATACAGAACAGTGATTTGTATTAGCTCTGCCCATTTAGGAGCTAGAATGGAAGAGTACCAGTGACCACACCCCCTGCTTATCCTTCAATTGTGCTGATGGGGCAGGGACTTTACAACCCAATAACTGCAGCAATCAAACTCTATACGTGGGTCTTATACCAGGGGGCTTCAAAAAGTGGAATGAAAATGTAATGGGCTGTTTGGATGAACCTTCTGAAGTCCCCCAGTATGTGTGTGGTTGCTGGTGCTACCCCCCCCATCCTTATTACTGATGAAAAACAAACATCAAAAGCTCACAATACAGCAATGCAACCTCTAAAATGGTAGCGTTATAAAGAGAACGGTTCTGTGGGGGTTTCCACTCTTCTTTGTGACAGAGGAAAACGGAGAGACCAGAAGGGTTAGACTAAGCCGGAGAAACAATTTCACTACGGAAGAAACGGGCAGCAATGCCTTCACAGAGCAGGAGGAATACAAAATGTGGCATTGGAAATGGGTCAGATTGAGGAATGGTCCTGGGCTGGGCCTTCACTTCCAGTGGGCAGAGAAGGATCCTAGAAAGGCCAAGAGGTACTTCGTCCCTTTACCCTCCTGGGCTGGCAGCACACGGTCATTTACTTCCCATAGAACTTTTTGTTGAGAAGGAAGATCAGGAGGTTGACATTTACTTTAGCTCTATCAAATAATTTCATGACTGCAACTCCTTCATATTGTAGTTGTAGCAGGTCCTGTTAAAAAAAAAAAGCAACGTTGACGGTTAACCGAGTCGACATAACAAGACAAGAACGTACACAGTGTAGTGAGGAATCCAGAAGGAATACGGCATGTCTTGTATATTGTTGTTGTTGTTAAGTGCTGTCAAGCTGAATCCCACTCACAGCGACCCTGTACAGGGTTTCCGAGGAACAGCTGGTGGGTTTGAACTGCCAACCATGGGGTGTACAGTCCAGTGCTCATCCTACAGCACCACACCAGAAGTCCTGTCTTGTCTAAGGGTAAGAAAAAAAGTATTGCTATAAAAAAATAAAAACCACAGAAACCTTTATTTAACATAAATATAAAAAAATGGAAGGCTGTTGTGTCTCGACATAGCCTCCCTCCATCTATTCTAAATACACTTTTGAAGGCTGTTTCCAACTCTAACTCTTGCCCAGATAATTCTGTGCTCTTTAATTTACATCACATCACAATGGCAGTTTTGTCATCCTCAAGGATAAAGATGAAGGCTGTGGAGTGAATGGGGTAAGGGTCCCAATTCTTGTAGGGCAGCCTTGCTACCCTCAGAGAATGAGCAGGCACACTACTAGTGCAATGGGAACAAATTCCTTGGTGCAACTTTCCTGGCCTTTTTCTCACCAATGAAGTTTTCCATTTTTCTTAATACTTTTTCCTAAAAAGCCCCCATGATTGTCCTTTGAGAAAATCTTATCAAGATTACCCCTCTGGGGTCCCTAAAATCAGTTGCCACAACCTTCTGAGCTGACTTTTCTGTCTTGAATTTAAATGGCCCAGCAGATCCCCTCAGAAGCCCCATCTTGACTGGACTAAGCCTTGTGGATTACAGACAAGAGAGAACTCGTCGGCAGCCGTCCACCTAGAGTACAGAGCTGGGGGCTGTGAATCCAGATCTGCTTTTCCCACAACCCTCCAAGGGCCAGAACAAGTTCATAAAATCGAAGTGGCCTCATCCTAAACTCCAGAAAGAAAAATGGTGGTAAAAAGAGGAACCCAAAAGCTTCAAGGACCCCAATCAGCAGTTTGGAAAAGTCCTGGCTGCTCCATGACAATGGCCCCCCACCCCCGGGGTATCTCCTGTGTCTGACGTGAACCCCTCAGCTGCCAGGCCCTCCAGAGTTCCCGAGTTTGCAGGTGAATCAATCACCTTCCTTAGGCAGGCTGCTTGGTCTATTAGAATTGGGTGAAACCAAGGGACTGAAAAGTTAGCTACGTGGATCATGAAGTTACTTCTTCCTTGTTCACTTGACATTAGTCACTGAGACGGAAACCAAGGTGATTACAAGATGCCACCTGTCCTTAAGGAGCTCACAGTTTGAATAGACTGTGGTGACAGTGTGACACCTGCTGTAAACAGAAGCAGAGAGGACGCCCCCGATTGTGACCTGGCGAGTTGGGGAGCTTTAGAGGCGGCACCTCACATGGCCGAGGAGCCTGGGTGGCACAGGCATTTGTGCAATCGATTGCTAACTCGGGAGGCTGGCAGTTTGAACCCACCCAGGAACTCCACAGGAGAAAGGGCTGGCGAACTGCTTCTGTAAAGATTATAGCCAGGAAAACCCACCGGAGCAGTTCCACTCCAGACACAGAGGGTAGTCATGAGTCAGAGCCAACTGTGCGGCAGCTCCTTATAAACAACAGACATGTGAGTGAGTGCTCATCAAATGGCTGCAGAATCAGGAGGGCTGGGGAAGGAGGAAGCACACCTGGTAAGAGGGAACAGTGTTCAGAGAAAGACACACATTATGGAACACTCTAGAGACCAAGGTACAGGAGTCTAGACATTACCTACGGAGCCTCTCAAAGTCCTGGACTATTTTAATGTGTGAAAATCAGAGATAATTTCAAAATAAAAATGAGAGATTATTTGTGAACCTCAAGGTCGGCAGTTTGAAACTACCAGCCGTAGCTCTGCAGGAGAAAGATGAGGTGTTCTGCTCCCATAAAGATTTACAGCCTCGGAAATCCCGTGCAGTGTCACTATGAGTCAGAACTGACTCCATGGCACTTAACAACAACTAGGCTTAGAACTTTGTATTTAAGCATTATGTTCAATTCCAAGATTATCAGCTCAATTTAGTGTCATCACTAAGTGGGAAGCTGTTGAGAAATGCTTTCTGAATATCAGACATCCAAACGATTTTTCCAGAGCACACAGACCAGATCAGAAATACCAGCATCCTCAGCTTCGTTCCCCACAACATGGAGCCTGAGTATGAATGAATTTTCTTTTTATTTATTTCTCCTCTCTTGAAAAGAACATAATTACCATCTACACATACATAAAGAGAATAAATCCTGCGAAAGTCAGAGCGTGTGTAAGGTAGAAACATAATGGAGAAGAAAACTCGAGAAGTAGTTCCCCCGACGGTGTGCTGCTATAGGACAAGTATCTGACTGTGAGGTCGGTGTGAACCACAAGGTCGGGGGTTCAAACCCACCAGCCACTCCCAGGAAATCCTACACAGGGCTGCTATGAGTCTGGAACTGACAACAACAGACAGCAACAGAAAAGTGGTCAGACTGCACCCTGACCCCAAAACCAAGGCAGTCCTGTCCAGTCCCAGCTCTCACAGGTTTCTTTCTGTATGTGTACTGAACCCTGGTGTGGCACTGGAAGATAAGCACTGGACTGCTAGCAGCGCTAACTGCAAGGCTGGCAGTTCAAACTCACCAGCCACTCTTGGAAATCCTATACAGGGTCACTGTGAGTCAGAACTGACTCAAAAGCACTTAACAAGGGATAAAGCACTGGACCGCAAGATCGGTTCCGACCACAAGGTCGGCGGCTCAAACTCACCAGCCACTCCTTGGAAACTACACAGGGTCGCTATGAGTCAGAACTGACTTGGTGGCATTTAACACAACAACAACATATTTAAAGAGAGAGAGAATGTGTGTGTGTACAAGAGAGAGCTTTTCTGGCTCCACCTGGCACATACCCACCTGATAATGTAACATAAAAGTCTCCATCTGAACGCCCATGAATTTGGCTTTTACTTCAAAGTCGCCAACTTCCTCTGTTGGGTTGATTTCAAAGATAACATTTTTAAACCTGTTGAAACAGAACACATAATGATTTTTATGTTCTCAAATAAAAACATTGTGGTCTGGGGCAAAGAGAAAGACGAAGTCTTCAAAGAAGAACAGGGGTAGAAAATACAGGTCCAAGGTTAATTTCCACAGGCGAGGCCGTGTGGGATGGCTCCTCCTAAGTCTCATCAGCTCGGAGACTCACACAGAGGAAGGACAGCCTCTCCCGCAGCACTTGCACTCAACTGAAAGAGGAACCACGTAGTGATGCCACACATGGCTACTGAAGGGATGATGGCAAAGGGAATCTGGCTGTCCTCCAAGAGACTACTGATGGAATCTAATGGGGGGAAAATGAGAATCAGAGGATATTGAGCTAGACAGAGAGGTAAGATTGTGTATGTGAGTGTGTGTGTGTGTGTGTGTGTGAGTGAGAAGAGAGAGAGAGACAGAGAAACAGAGAGAGCATTTGTTTGCATGCCCGAGGCTTGGGAGAAGTGAAAAATAAAAGCAGTCAGTGCAAAAACAATCATGAGATTTACTAGAAAGAAGTAACTTAGATATAAATGAGGGGGATTAAAAAAGTTGGTGAAAAAGTCCTGTTTATCTTTTATTTTAATTTTTCCACGACCTTTTGGAAATCCCCTTGTGTGTGTGTGCATACACACACAAACACATAATACAAAAGGTCATTAAAAAGACAGGAAAGAAGAGAAAACAAAACAAAACACAGGAAACAAAGAAAAGACCAAAATGAATGTTAAAAGAGACTCTGAAACTTGCTTTTCAGCGTAAAGTAGCTAAACAGACTGGAAGAAATGATGAAGTAAAAGAGCTGAAGGAAGAGAAGATTTCAAAAGGCAACAACAGTAGAAGACAAAATAAAGTATTAAAATGAAACGTGCAAAGATCTGGAGTTAGAAAACGAAAAGGGAAGCACACACTCGGCAATTTTCAAACTAAAAGGACAGAAGAAAAAAAATTCAAGTTGAAATACTGAAGGATCCTATGGGCAGAATACTGAAGGCTGCAGGGTGCATCAGATGAACAGAATATACAGAATCACAGTATCACAAACAACTGGCAGACGTGCAACCATTTCAGGAGCACATGATGGAGAACAGATGAGCACTGAAGGAAGAAGTGAACACTGTGCTGAAGGTATTGGCCAAAATGAAGGTTCTAGAACTGATGGAACACCAGTGGAAATGTTTCAAAAATGGCTGCAATGCTGGAGATGTTCACACATCGATGCCAAGGAATTTGGAAGACAGCTACTTGGCCAATCAACTAGAAGAGAGCTATTATTTGTGCTCATTCCAAGAAAAGTGATTCAACAGAATGAAGAAATTATCAAAAAATGTCATCAGTATTACACGCAAATAACATTTTTTTTAAAAAAAGATAATTCCAAAACCATTGCAGTAGTACACTGACAGCTGCCAGAAATATAACACAGATTCAGAAGAGGAATGTCATTGTTGATATCAGATGGAGTTTGGCTGAAAGCAGACAATACCAGAAAGATGTTGACTTGTGTTTCAATGACGAAGTAAAGGCATTTGATTGTGTGGATCATGACAAATTCTGGATAACATTGCAAAGATTAGGAATTTCCAGAACAGCTCACTGTGCTCATGTGGAACCTGTACACAGACCAAAGGCAGTCAGTCATTCAAACAGAGCAAGGAGACACTAACTACGTGGTTTAAAATCAGGAAAGGTGTGCGTCAGAGCTGTATCTTTTCGCTATTAGTTATTCTGTATTCTGAGCAAATAATCCAAGGAGCTGTACAATCTGAAAAAGAACATGGCATCAGGACTACAGAAAGACTCATTAACAACCTGCAATATGCAAATGACACAACCTTGCTGGAAACACTCACTAATGAAGAGCAAAGAACACAGTCTTCAGTATTGATTACATCTCAACATAAAGAAAATACAAATCTTCACAATAGGACCAATAAGTAACATCATGATAAATGGACAAAAGATTGAAGTTGTCAAGGATTTAATTTTACTTGAATTCACAATCAACGCACAAGGAAGCCGTAGTCAAGAACTCAAACAACATACTGCATTGGGCACATCTGCTGCCAAAGACCTCTTGAAAGTGTTAAAGAGCAAATACGCCACTTTGCGTGGGGTATACGGTGTGCCTGACACAAGCCGTAGGTTTTCAATCGTCTCCTACGTGAAAGCGGAACAATGAATAAGGAAGACTGTAGAAGGATTGATGCGTTGGAATTACGGAGCTGGTAAAGAAAATTGAACATACTACAGGACTTCCAGATGAAGAAAACAATCGGTCTTAGAAGACATACAGCGAGAATGCTTTTAGAAGTTGAGGATGGCAAGCTTCCCTCTAATGGACACTGGACAGGTCATCTGGGGAATCAATTCCTGGAGTAAGAAATCATTCCTGGTAAAGTAGAGATCAGCTAAAAGAAGACCCTCAAAGAGATGAACTAACCTAGTGGCTGCAATAAGGGGTTGAAACATAGCAATGACTGCGCACACGGTATAGGACTGGGCAGGGCTTTATTCTGCTGTACACAGGTCGCTATCGTTGTAACCGACTTGACAACACCTAACAACAACATACACATACAGGCATACCCTGGATTACGAATGTCTGACTTCCATGCAACCCGTGATTATGAACCAATTCCGTAATTATTTTACACATTCAAGGTACATACAGTGGTTTGTAATAACAAATGAGTACTACTTTGCAACATG